CCTGGGAAAATGGAAAGTTAATGTGTAATGTAAAAAAGAGTTACAGTATTAGAAAACACTGCTCTTTAGTGGGTACAATTGAGTTAATAGCCGTGCAAGAGCCACTGCTAGGCTGGTCAGCACTCAGACACACACAGGCTAGTCAGGAGAGAGATATTGGTGTTAACTTAGTCTTCGTGCACACACATGCACACACAAGCACTCAGTTAGTAGTAGCTATGCCCATTCTGCTCCATGACTTTCATGATAAAAAGAAGGAAATGTTTGGGGACAAGGATAAGGGGAGCTCTGGGCACTGAAGTGTTGAAACCGCACAGTATCCCTGCTGGAGAGCGACTCAGGATGTTGATGAGGGGGAGGCGGTAAGTGGCCAAGCAGGATGGGGTCTTCAAATGGCTTTGCTTAAGGAAGTGAACCCGGATGTCTATTTTCTCTCCTGAACCCATGTACGTTACAGTCTATGTGTCTTGGGGAAGGGAAATGATTGCATTTATCTTGTTTTAATGTCTGATTTCTTGGGTGAGGATGGGTAAGAGAGGAGCCTGGGGGTGGTACCCACCCTTCCTCTCACCTAATCTTGCAGCGCTGGGCTGCAAATAAGACTCCAAGATGCAAAGAATCTACATGATATACCTTAGCCCTGCACCTCCAGCCTCGCCCTAAATGCTTGTTAACACAGAGGCTTGTGTCCCCAGGCCTCTCTAAAATGACTTCCGGGGGTGGGGGGGTGTCTTTCTCAGTCCTAGCAATCTGGAAGAAGGTCCACTGGTGATCTGATGACAAAGGAATGGGGGGGGGCACTCCAAGTCCTCTACTGCAGCCACCGAGCAGTGCCTGGACACGCAGGACAGACACTGTGAAAAGAGGTCTTATTCTACCCTGGTAAGCAGGGATGCTGGGCTCAAAAGCAACAAAGAAAACTCTACCATGCCAGCTCCATATTACTGGGTAAAGCAACGCCACAGCAGCTTGACCGTCTGAGACCCATCCCCAGAATCTACCTAAGAAGTTTGGTGTGCTGGTGCCTCTGCAATCCCAGCATGCCTCTGGGAGACAGGAGGCAGGGACAGGAGAATCACCCAGAAGCTCATGTCCTGGCCTAGAACATGAAGTAAGGCAGGGAGAGAGATAAGAGGGCCTGGCTCAAAGCAAGGCTCAAAGAAAGAACCAACTCCTGAAAACTGGCCTTTGCCCTGGCTCCTGCACAGCCCCACTCAACACACACACACACACACACACACACACACACACACACACACACACACACACACACACAGACTCAATAATAATAACTTAGAAATTTATAAAGATGAGAGTACGACTCATCTATTTGATGGTAGTGAGGGGGGAGGGGTAGTTTTACTGAATCAAGATGCTTCCAGAAAACCGACTTAACAGAATTTTGTTAAAAGACTCAAAAGGGGAACCTCCTTCGTCCTAGCATTTGAGAGAGTGTAGGAAGGGGCAAACTTGGAGATGGGGGTGTGGAGGGGGGGGGTCTCCTGGTATGGTAAAAAGACCCAAAGAGGACAGTGTGATCCTTAAACACCAGCCCTAGGCATGATGCAACACCCTAACACCCGTGTTCTCTGTGGTCACCATGAGACTACTGTAGCGGGTTAACCTTGAACTCACTGTGAACAGAGAGCAACGCTGAATAAAAAGGGGCGGGGGCAGGAGAGACTTCAAGGCCTGGGAAAGGACTGCAGTTAGGGCTGCACAGTGTGGGTGATGTCAGCGCTCTGAGCTCATGGCTCTTCACCACTCAATAGTCTTGTGTGGGAAGTCAGCCTCTTGGAGGTTCGCGCTTGACAAACCTGCTTTTTAAGTACCAGCATTTGGTGACAAACCAAAACGTAAAATGATAATGTTCCTGAGAGTCAGAGTCACGTGAGAGTGTGGCAGAACTCCCCCACCATAATCCTCTGGGTGGGACCTCAGACATCTGGGCTTGCTCACCCTCCACCCCCACCCCTACCCCCCACCCCCCGCCATTTCACAGCTGGCCAAACTAAAGCTGAGGAAGCGGAGTCAGGCACTGGAAGCTGGGCTTGTGACAATGCCTCGAATACCAACATTTGGAAGGCTGAGGCAGGAGGATTACTGTGAGTTCACAGCCAGCCTGGGCTACACAGAGAGAAGACAGATGCTGGCTCCTCAGGTAGTAAGGACTAGACCCAGAGCCTGCACCTCACCACAGGCCTTCTGCTGCACGGACCAGGAACTCCCCCCCCCCCCCCCCCCCGGCCAATTTCCATGCTGACAGTAGCAACACTCAGAGCCTCACCATCTAGACACCAAGAACTGGAGACAACACACAGCATGTGGTCCTCCAGACTGCAGACACTGGGGAGAAAACAGGTCCAGTCCAAGACTGCTTGGTCTGCTGGGTCACCTAGCACCACCGGGAAAACTGGAAAAACCAGCTCTGGGCGGTGGGCCCTCACAGGTTCTGCCTGAACCAAGTTGCCAGGCTGGCCTGGGGTCTGGGAACCACCTGGATGAGAACCTGGGTGCCTTCCTGGCTACCATATGCACAGGAAGCTGAATGATTCCGTGTTGCTATCCCCTCCTTTCTGCCCAAGGCAGCCACGGAAGCAGCCAGCAGGGCCAAGGCCAGGGGCTGGGTAAGGCACCCAGATGCAGAGCACATGCCTTGCACATGGGAGGCCCTGGGTCAATCCCCACTGTCACACAGGCGCACACACACATACACACACTAAAAACATACATAAAACTCTAGGAGAGGAGCTAAGGGGAAGGTCTAGTGGGTATCGTCCGTGATGCACAACCGTGAGAACCATTTTGAATTTCATTGTGCTGCTGCCTCCCTGACACTGGAAATCAGGAAGACCTGAACCCAGGGTTGATGCCCCTGTGCATAAAAATTCTAATGACTACCGCGCCTGCACAGAGAAAGTGCTCAGGGAAAAAACATGAGTGGCCACTCATAATGAGAAGCCAGTCACAACCATGCAAACACTTAGGCCGGAGTCTAGAAGTCTTAATTGTCCAAAATAATCCATAGACAGACTTACAACAACAAAATGGTCTTCTAAATCTGGTATCACAGTGTGTGCCTATAATCCCAAACCCTCTCAGAAAAATGATACCAAACAAATAAAACTCTATTTTAAACATGGGTAAAAAAACGTAAAAATTTCCAATGGTTCATAAGCATGTAATATTCCCATGTGTATCTGTTGTTCTATGGACCACAAGTCTGTGTTCTCTGGTCACTTTAAAAAAAAAAAAAAAAAAAAAAAAAAAAAAAAGACCAAAAACAAAACCCGTCCTCTGCTATAGCTGTTACTGACGTCACCCGCCAGGCCTAAAGAGATGTGGTGGGTGTAAATGCAAGCTTCATGAGACCAATGTTCCTTTGTGCTTTGCCGAAGATTGATGGGACAGAAGAGGCATGATATATTGCCCAAAAGCAATTGTATATTGCCAATGTGTATAAGAAAATCAGTGTGTCTGCCTGGAAGTACACCTGTGCGCATATGTGCACACTCACACACACACAAATACTCATGCACACATGTGTACACCCAGACACACATGTACACACCCATCACACATGTGCTCACACGTTTTGACAAGGAAGGGAGCACTTGTAGATGGCAAGCAAGTGGTAGGGAATGAACTGGCTGGAAGATCAGCTTAACCCCAAATCAACTACCTCGGCGGTTTCCACAGAGCGCGTCACCTCTAACATCCAACACCACAGACCTTGACACTGAAAATGTGGATTCACAGCTAGCTTTAACACTACTGTCAGATGCCAGTGGTCGAATCCCTGTTTTCTTCCCAGTAAGTTTTGTTAGTGGTTCCCCATTGGATGGCTGGCCGGATGGCAAGCACCCATATCCCAGCAGGATGCTAGGTGCAGTAGAGACTTTTGGAAGTGCTGATTCGAACACATCCCAGTACTCCACGGGCTGCCCCTTGTGTAGTAGTCTAGCATAAAGACAAGGGGCCAGCACTGGCTGAGCTGAGGAGGGGAAGAGGTGGCCAAGAGCCTGGGGTGAGCACACACAAACCTCTGCAAGCTGTGACAATCTGGGGAGTAGAGAGAGAACTGAATGAGGCACAGGCGGCCAAGAGCATGGTGAGTGCAGGCATGCAGAGACACACTTTGCCTGGAGTTCTGTGTGAAGCAAGGTCTGCTCCTCCAGGCCACACTGCTAATCTGTCCTTGTGCCCACTTGGGTCACCTTTCTCGGCCTAATGCCAGTTTCAGCAGCATTGTTTTATACATGAGTGGAAAGGGACACTAAGCAATTCACGTTCTCCTGGGAAACCTGCCGGCAAACTGGGCAGCCAGTTTCCTCTCTCACCCAGTGGCCAGGACAATGAGCCATTGACAGCCTTGTTTACATTGACCTCCTCCTGAGACTGAAGACAAGGTCTTCTGGTACACAACTGAAGCAGAAAACAAGCTTAGTTTTATCTGAAACATTCCTTTAAGTGCAAAATAAGGCTGAGGAACCAGAAGAAGCGGAGACTCAGAATGGGTCTTGGGGCCTTCAAAACACAGATGTGTGGCTGAGAGCAAACAAGACTATCTGTGCAAACACGTTCTTATCCAATCCATGCAGTGCCGACATCCGTCCTTGACACCTGTTTGTCAGGGCTGTTGTTCACCTCTGCAGTGTTAACCACGCTTACACCCAGAGGAATACAAAAGGGTCAAGTCCCCAGGCTCACCATGAAGACTGCCTGATGGTGGCACAGAGAAGCCTAGGGGCCTTAGGAGACTCAGACTCTGAGTGACAGATACAAGTTCTAAAATGGAGCACATGGCCTGAAAGGCTGGGGTGGGATGTGGTGATTTATCATATTTCAGAGCAGAAGCCCACCCACCCCAAGTCCCAACAAAAGGGCAAAGGTGTGAGGCTTCTAAAAGACGGAATACGTTCATAAGTTCAAGCTTCTAGGGAACCACTATACAAGGTTTTGGTTAAGTCTTCAGTAAGAGCCCCATAGGTTTCACTAACCTTAGCCTCCTCGTTCACATCCCAGGTGAAGGAAACAGCATTGTACGCAATCTCTTCGATGTTCCCGATGGTGTTGAAGCTCTCCTTGTAGTCAGCTATGACATTGAAAGAGAAAAAGGCTCAGCAGAGCAACCAGGTGGAGAGGTGTGTGCCCATAGTTCCTGCCTGAACTTGGAAGGCTCAGGCTTATCCTTGTGACAAGTTTAATGCATGAGACACCAGCTCAGCACACACGCAGCACACTACACACACACCACACACGCACACACACACAAACATGCGCGCACACACATACACTTACCCACATGAACATGAAGGAGGATTTATTATTTGTCAATAGGCAAATGCCTATTTTTCTGGCTACCGCTGTGTCAAATTTTTTTGCTGATAGTTTTCTGCTGATGAAAAACTTTGCACACATCCTTCTATTAAAGGAGTAAGTCTATATACAACATGTCTTTTTCTGATTTGGTTAGTTTGCTTTTCTTTCTCTGCTCATCTTCCCACTTGCTTTCTTGACTGGTCTTCCACAGATTTTTTTTTTTTGGGGGGGGGAGCAAAATATTCTACCAATCAGGTGGTGTGAGTACGACTTTAGTAAAGAAACTACAGAGAGTGAAGGTTTCCCATGTGCAGTGACAGTGGTTCAAACACAGGGCCTCACACATGCTGATCCATGGAACTGCACCCCCGTGTCAAAGAAAGGCATTTATAAAGCTAAGTTTTAACTCCAGAAAGTTGAGTGAATCACACTTGGTTGACTATCATCACCTGCCCACTCTAGGCTCTAATCTATCTTCAGTCTATTCCCTTCTAACCCATATAGTAATGTATGCATCTATCCCCTTCCATCCCGTTAATATGTATCTATTCCCTTCTACCCCATGTAATATATATCTACTCCCTTCCATCCTGTTAGTATGGGGAAGGGAATAGATACATATTATTTCATCCCATATAATATGTATCTATTCCCTTCCCATTAGACACCCATAAGAGTAGACTCTTATGTGCTATGTGTTGCTATGGGCATGGTGGCCTGACATCTCTGTGTGCAAAAACTGTGTTGTTGATGAAATACATATTTAAGGTGTACTTATACTACAAAGGCTATTTTTCAGAGCTCAGATTTAACTGGAAGTCCTATATTTTATCCAGCAGCCCTCACCATGGATCCCTTACATTACAACCAGTAGTCATAATTTGCTATTTCCTCTTCTGGATGATGAAATGCCTGGTACCTCAGACAGCACTACTTTCGTTATTGCTGGGAGATGAATGGCTGCAGGAAAACTGTGCTTTCCAGAGTAGCTCTCCAGGCTCCCTTAGGATAGGCTGCCTGTCTAGCCTCAGGCTCAATTCTATTTCCCCTCTATCTCAGATCTCTTCTACTTTCTACCCACACTGAAGGGTTCAAAGTGGCATCATTGGATGCAGTCTCTACCATTATATGCAAGCTTCTCCTCCCTTGCACCTAGCCAGCCGGGGTTCTTCTATGGAGAGTGCTCACTCGTTTCCTTTGTATGTTCCTGTATTCTTTCTTAAAGAAACCTCATTGCAAGATAACACCTTTATTGGTTTTTTTGTTTGAGTTTGTGTGTGTTTTTCTGTAATCCAAATTGGCCTTAAACTCAAAATGCTTTCTCCCCTGGGTATTGACTAAGCTTACAGGTATGAGCCCAATTCCAGATCCTTATATTTTAAACAAAGCACATTAACTTTGAACATACAAGTATGTATATTCAACATAAGGAAGTCAGATAAGAAATAAGAAAATAGGAAATGACTTAAAAGCAACCACAGTCTATGGACTCACAATTACTACCTTTAAACACTATCTATGTGTTTGTTCTGCTCTCTCATCTAGTGCCCTTTCTCCAAAACATGTAAATATTTTTACACAGAATGTAATAAATAGCTTTTCATTGATATATTGTTTTGCTTAGCCCATCTCTAACATCTGCTCATATCTAAAAATATTTATTGGGGACCAAATACCATCATATCCAATCTTGTGGCATGACTTTATTCTTGTTTTGGTTTTTGGTTATAGGGTTTTGGGGGTGTTTTGGTTTGGTTTTCTTTGTGGGGAGTGGAGGTTGAGACAGGGTTTCTCTGTGCAGTCTTGGCTGTCCTAGAACATTCTGTGTAGTCCAGGCTATCCTCGAACTCAGAGATCCACTTGCCTCTGCCTCCTAAGTGTTGGGATTAAAGGCGTGTGCCGCCACCACCTGGTTATGGCTTTATTCAGTCACAGTTAAGTTTGCTACACCAGTGTTTTATTTATTTACAGCTAAATTTTATGTAAATTTAATTATATTTCATTAAAGTAAATTCTCAGGGGCAGAAGGTGTAGCCTGCTGCTAGGGCAAGGGCTGGGGGAAGGAGAAGTTGGGTCCAACACCCAGCACCAAAACAAAAGCTAAAAGCATATTCTCAGAAATACAGTTTTTGTTTTGTTGAGACAAGCTCTCACTGGTCCCTGGCCAGCCTGGAACTCAGAGACCTGCCTGCTTCTGCCTCCCAAGTGCTGAGGTTAAGGATGCCAGCCCCGCCTATCCTTGCTCCTGCCTTGCTATTGGCTGTTCAGCTCTTCATTAAACCATCAGGTGTTTTAGACAGGCAAAGAGTCACAGCTCCAGAGTTAAACAAGCGAAGCAAAAACAAATACAAGATAGTATCCTACCACACCTGGCATCCAAAGGTTCTTGGGGTGATACCTATGCTGTTATGGAGACCAGACATGCTCATGCCAGGGCTTGTGCCAACCTTTTACCTCCTCCACTCCTTACTCCTTAGGTAACAGCATGTTTGCTCCTACAGAGAAATCACAAAGCTGCTAACCAGTCAGCTATGGTTTGAATTCAGGTCTATCTGGTACCAATAGTCACAGTAATAGTCACAGTTTTAACTGCAATTTCAACCATAAATCATCAGTAGATACTGACAGCATGGGCCATACATCAGTGACAACTACTTTATGAGGTGCTAAGGGATTGTATGGTGAGAGCAACGGAACTGGGCATTGGGGACCATGGAAGTTACTTAAATGGGGGCAGGGATAGGGCACTTCTTTTAAAGATTTATTATGTATACAATGTTCTGCCTGCATGTATGGCTGCAGGCCAGAAGAGGGCACTAGACCTCATTACAGATGGTTTTGAGCCACCATGTGGTTGCTGGGAATTGAACTCAGGACCTCTGGAAGAGCAGCCAGTTGCTCTTAACCACTGAGCCATCGCCTCTTCAGCCCCAAGGAACAGGAAACTGCTACGGGGAGGGAACAAACTAATTCAAGCGCGCCTGGCTATGAAAACCAAAGGCACTGGTGCTGTGGGAAATGATGCTCACATTCACCATGTCTGTCAGAAGGCACTGAGTACACCTGTGTGCACACTTCCCAGATGCATTTATTCCTGGCAAGTGGTGTTTTGCTTAGAAATTATGGGATGCCACTGTGTCTAATTTCTCAGGAGGTAGACAGTGAGTGAACCCCTCTGTTACCTTTTATCTTTTAGACATAATCAGTGGTCTGTTAATTGGTTGTTTTCTTTTCATTCAGGCTGAGGCTTCCTCAGACTGATGGTAAAGGAACCGCGGTGTTGGATGGCAGTCAAAGGAAAAGCTAGCTCCTCTCCTTAATTAAGCTTCGAGCACTTGGAGAGCTATAACTACCCCCTTTAATTATTCTCTATATATTGTTGGAGATTAAACAGAGTGGTATAATTAATACAGAAGATGGCACTCTGCTGGAAGGCGTGGATTCTGTCTGGACTGGTGAAATAATGAAGTGAAATAATGAAGGTGGGTTGCTGAAGACGAGGCTGGGAGCCAGGCCAGGCCAGCGCACAGCCACATCAGACTCATCAAACACTTTTCTCCTTAGGTTGAGAATGTGGCATGCTGGATATGCTTGGGGCTACCATTCCAAAGGTCCATCTGGAGGGTGAGTCGGGATACAGCAAGCAAGCACATGAGCACATGAAGCCTGGGCATATGCACTCTTCTCCCTGACTCTCAGTGAGTTACCTTTGCAGAACAGAAACTCTATCTAAAGAACACTGTTTCAATATGGCGGACAATGGTTATCCATGACCCCAGAAATCTGTGTCCCCCATCTGCAATACTGAGTAGAGGAACCACGGATGAAAGCAGGTCATGTGAGGAACACTCAACTCTGAATTGAAAAAGGTGGAAGAACCTTGTCTAAGCGGGGTCTCCCTGAGTGGAAACACATTAAGTGTTGGGCCATGTTGTCTCACACCTTTAATCCCAGCACTGGGGAGGCAGAGGCAGGAGGATCTTTGAGAGTTAGAAGCCAGCCTGGTCTACAGAGTAAGTTCCAGGACAGCCAAGGCTAAACAGAGAAACCCTGTCACAAAAAAAGAATAACAAAAAAAAGAGAGAGAAAGAGAAAGAGGGAGGGAGGGAGAGGGAGAAAAGGAGGGAGGGAGGAAGAAAAAAGAAAGGAGAGGAGAGAAAGACATAAGAAAGGTAATTGTCTCTCCAACGCTGCCATTATTTGTCTTGTCTTAGTCTGTTTTCTGTAACTACAACTGAATACCACAGACTTTAGTAAACTGCTTTAAAAAGAAAATACCCTGGACCTTCCCAGGCTGTGCAGCCCAAAAGATCGGTCTGTGGAGAGAGCTTTCATGCTTCATCATGACGGGGTGGGGATCACAGGGTGACACAGAGGGAGCATGCCAACTCCGGAGCTCCACCTCTTCTCTCCGAGTCACCAGTACATCTTGCTCACGTAACCTCACCTAATTATTCCCACCTCAAACACAGTAGCACAAAAATTGGAGAGTGGGTTTCGAACACATGATCTCTGGGGGGGTCACACTTACTACCACCACACTGGTTGATTAAGGGCCAAGCTAGGACCAGCAACTACAAAGCTCTGTCTACACACAAAACCAAACCCTTTTGGCTACTGCGACATAAAATCTTTAAGTGTATACATCTTTTAGAGACATAATCCAGAATGTATATGGGGGAGATTATTAATATAAAATGTGACACTCAATGACTCTTCCGTGTTCTTAAACCATAGTAGTCAGCATATCATTGCTATCTACTCTCCATGGCT